CCAAAGTGGAACCATTGTAAATTGGGGACTGTTTTTTTTTGAGCAGATAATTCACAAAACCCAAGCACATAGTGGCTAGGCATGTAATTCAGCGGTAGTGTTTGCAAAGCATGCACAAGATGACTGGGCTCAAGTCATCATTGCCCACCCACTCCACCCCCCACCCTAAAACAAAAAGAAAGATAAAAAAAAAAGCCTATCATGAGGAGCTTCTCAACCCAATCCCACCTGCATCTTAGCAACCACTTCAACTCAGTGTGCAGAAGAGTTACCACCTGTTCTCATGGTTTCTCTCTGCCCCTAACACTCGCCTAGTCATGTGACTATGGGCAAATCCTGGCCTGGGTGCTTCTCCCTATAAATGAACAGAAAAACCTTTGCCCTACCTACTTATCAGGGTTGTCATCAATAAGACCAGACAAGCCAGGAAGGTGATATCATTCACCATGCTAACTCTGAAAATGCTTGGTGGCTTTAACAAAGAAAATTAAGTCCTTAGAGCTACAGAGAAAAACAGGACTCCCACCTCCCTTTCCTTCGTGGGCTATCTCCATCTTAACACTAGACATAGTTTGCTTGACTACTGTCTTCTCAATTAAATGGAAGTTACTTGGGGCAGGCTGTCTGCTCAATGCTGGACCTCCAGCACCTGAATGCTTGCATACAGCAGGTACTCAATATACAACTGTAAAAGGAATGAGTCACCAGCTCCAATAACCCATTTTGAACCAAACCAAACAACAGTTTGCCAAACAACATGACTTCAGAGCTTAGAAACTGAAGGGTCAAGAAAAATATGCTAACTTCCCTTTACTAATCAGGAAAAAGACTAAAAAGAGTGGCAAAATCAAGAGCCCCTGGAAGCCAGGTGCAGGTGGCTCATACCTGTAATTCCTAGCTACTCAGGAGGCAGAGATCAGGCGGACCATGGTTCAAAGCCAGCCCAGGCAATAGTTCTTGAGACCCTACCTAGAAAATACCCAACACAGAAAAGGGCTGTTCAAGTGTCCTACCAAAAGCCAGAAAAAGACATTATAAGAAAACTATGTGGCCCAGCACTCCTGCCAAGGCAGGAGAATTACAAGCTCCAGTCCAGCTTGGACTACATAATGAGACTCTGTCTCAAAAAGAAAAAAAACAAAAAAACAAAAAAAAGGCCAGGGATATAGTTCAGTGAAGAAGTGCTTACCTAGCAAAATGGATCAAAAGCATAAGTACAGGAGCTAAAACTCTCATAAGAAAGAAAACAGAGGGAACTGGACACCAGTGGCTCACGCATATAATCCTAGCTACTCAGGAGGCAGAGTTCAGCCAGCACGGGGAAACAGTTTATGAGACCCTATCTCAAAAAAACCCACCACAAAAAAAGGGCTGGTAGAGTGGCTCAAGGTGTAAGCCCTGAGTTCAAATCCCAGTATCAAAAAAAAAGAGGGACAGCTTCATGATCTTGGATTTGGTAATGGTTTCTTTAGGTATGTCACCAAAAGCAGAATCAACAAAAGAATACGTAAATTAGACTGTCAAAATTTAAAATTTCAGCCAGGTGCCACTGGCTCATGCCTGTAATCCTAGCTACTCAGGAGGCAGAGATCAGGAGGATCGTGGTTCAAAGCCAGCCTGAGCAAATAGTTCTCAAGACCCTATCTCAAAAGAACCCATCACAATGAAGAATGGCTCAAGGTGTAGGCCCTAAGTTCAAGCCCTGGTACTGTCAAAATAAATAAATAAATAAAAATTTCATGTATTAAAGGATATCATTAGGAAAATGAAAAGACTTGCAAACAATGTATCTGATAAGGGGTAAATATCCAGAATATATGAAGAATTCTCACAATTGAACAACAAAAACAAAAAGTTTATCACAACTAAATTTAAAAGGTAGGTAAAGAGAACCAGGGGCTCATATGCCCTAGAATCCCAAGACCAGAGGATCATGAGTCCAAGGTCAGCCTAGCAACACAGCAAGGCTGACATAGCAAGAACAGGTCTCAAAAAAACACAACTAACCAAACAAACCACCACCACAACAACAAAAACAGGCTGTAATTTAAAAAAAAGAAAAGGGCTAGAGGTATGGCTCAAGGGGTAGAGTACCTGTTTTGCAAGCATGAAGTCCTGAGTTCAAACCTCAATCCCATCAAAAAAGAAAGAAAAAAGGAGGGCTGGTGGAGTGGCTCAAGTGGTAGACTGCCTGCTTAGCAAGTATGAGATCTTGAGTTCAATCCCCAGTACCACAAAGAAAAAGAAAAGAAAAGAACAAGTGTTCGGGAGGATGTGGAGAAATTGCAATCTGCCCACTGCTGCTGGAAATGTAAAATTGTGCAGCTGATGGTGGTTCCTCAAAAAGTGAAAACACAGAGGGGATGTGGTGGCACAGGTCTGTAATTATAGCACTTGTAAGTCAAGGAAGAGGCAGGAAAATCCAGTTCAATGCCAGTCTGGGCTACATCGAGACCCTATCTTTAAAAAAAAAAAAAAGATGGATAGACAAAATGTGGAATAAACACACAACAGAGTATCATTCGGCTTCAAAAGGAATCCTGACACATGCTACAACATGTATGAACCTTGAAGAAGCCATGCTAAATGAAATTCTCTATTATTCTACTTACATAAGGTACCTACAGAAAGTAGAATGGTGGAGTTTCCAGGGTCTGAGAGGAAAGAGAGATGATGAATTACTGTCTAATGTATAGTTTCTATTTGAGATGATGAAAAAATTCTGGAAATAAATTGTGCTGTGGTTACATAACACTGTGGACATACTTGATGCTACTAAACTGCACACTAAACTAGGCGCCAGTGGCTCCGGCCTGCAATTATAGCTACTTGGGAGGCCAAGACCAGGAGGATCTTGGTTCAAGGCCAGACCAGGCAAACAGTTTGTGAGAACCCAATCTCCAAAAGAGCCAGAGCAAAATGGACCAGAGGTGTGGCTCAAGTGGTAGAGCTCCTGCTTTGCAAGTTTGAAGCCCTGAGTTCCCACTTAAAAAAACAACAACAACAACAAAAAAAACTGGGCACAGTAGTGCACACCTGTAATCCCAACACACTGGAAGCTGAGGCAAGAAGATATGAATTAAAGGCCAGCCTGGACTACATAAGTGAGAATGTCTGTAGAAAAAAAAAAGATTTTTAATTATAAATTTTATATATTTGACCATAATTTTAAAAAAATACAGAGAAAAAAATAACAAGCCTTACTTCTAGTTCATTGAGAAGAATTCCTTTTTTTTTTTTTTTCCTTAAATAGTACTGGGGTTTGAACTCAGGGCCTTGAACTTGCTACACAGGTGCTCTACCACTTGAGCCACACCCTCAGCCCAAAAATTCCTTTAAAGGTCAGTTCTCCAGAGGGCCTGGCACACCCAGGCAATGGCTTTGAGGACACTACCTTGTTTCTTGTATTGGGACCTAAAACCCTACCCCAATAACTGAGCCCTGAATCCAAACAGCTCCAGTGGACTAGTTACTGTTTGAAAAGCGGAGCCTGAGCTTCCCTGGGGCAGGCAGTTTGGGGGATAACTGTCTGATGGGTTCCACAGGCTGCCAAGAAAAGCAGAAGCCAATCTGGCCAGCTCTCACTATTGCTTCCTCTTTCTCCTTCCCACACTACATCAGACAGCTAAGCAGAAAGGAAAACAGGCCAGACTGACACTCAAGGGCCCGCTTCTCTTTTTTGAAGCTCAAGATGGGAGGGACTCCTTGTTTTCCCTCACCTCTGCCACCCCTAGATATTGAATATTCTTTGTACTTCCTAGAGCGAAGGACACAGCTTTTGTGCATCCAACGACAAAGCCAACAACCTCCACTCTCTGTGGTCTCTAGTGCCCTTTCAATATAGCTTATCCAATTAGATCTCAAAAAAAAAAAAAGTGAAAATGAATGTGTAGGGGTTTTTCTTCCCCACTAGAGACACGAAGAAACCCAGACTCAGGGTCATGAAGCAACTTGTCCCAAGTTCATGGTCTGCGCACTGGCAGTGAACTTCAGAGTTGTCCTTCTACGCCATTACTTTGGAAAGTAAAAGCAGATTCAGACTATTTGGGCGGCAAACGAAAGCAAGGGAAAGTGAAGTGCTCACGAATCTGGCAACTAATAGGACTACTAAACCCACTGCCAGAGAAACAGTCTGTGGAAGAAATAAGCATATCTTCTTTCCCTGCAGCAACTCCCCACCCCCACACACATTTTTTGTTTTGCATTTTCTTTTCTTATTATTATAAATAGAATTTTACTAGAATATACTCATCATACGGGGGGAATTCATAATGACAGTTCCGATTAGGTGCACATTGGTTAGATCACCCCATTTCTCTGCTCCTCAACCCACTCCCTGCCCCACTTAAAGCAATTGCAAAAGGTTTCTTTGTTGTATTTCATGTAAGTACATGAAATTAATCAACCATATACCCTCACCTTAGCCTCCTTCATTCACCCTCCCCTCTCTCACTAGTAACCCCCCAAACACACACTGTACCTATTTTACAGTCCTGTCTTTCATTATTAATATTTGAGTTGATGTTCAAAGGACTTCTTCACGTGTCCCCGCTGTGGGGATACTTTACTTTGCTCCATTCAACAATCCCTCTTTTGCATTTTCAAAGACTCCTGCTGGGCGCCCAGACCAGACACAGGTAGACAGGGAAGGATCTGCCAGACTCAGAAAATCTAGCTGGGGGGGAGTGAAAAGTCGACGGGGACACCAAGAAACGGAACAAATCACGCCTAGCCCAAGAGGCATCTGAAACTAGAAGTGGAGCTAGCAACAACCCTGACAGAAAGGAGGCTAACGCGCCGCTGCACGGCCATGCCTGCACGCACGCGCAGAGGCAAATCTGGAGTGGGGGGCGGGTGCCGTCACCTCGCGCATGCGCTCTGGCCGCCTACGCATGCGCGTCTCGGCAGCTTTCGTTCCCTAGTAGTCCCCAGCCCTCCCGCAGTCCCCTAACTCGTTACGCAGACTACCTTGGTTGTAGCCGTCACCCTGCGTTCCTCACCTTGCGCCCGGTTTTCTCCCGTAGGGCCTTCAGCCGTTCCTTTCGGCGCAGCGCCTCTTCCTCTAGGCGGCCCACACCGGCCGTAGCAGCCTCCATCTTGCCTGCGACCCCCTTTTCTCTCGTCAGGCGTCACGCAGGAATAGAAAGATGTCTCAGCCAATCCAAGGACGAGAATAGGAGAGCAGGAAGCCCCAGAGCCAATGAGTGATGACTTGCTGTAGGAGGCCCGCCCTTTTGCTCTTGGACTACTGGCAACGCTAGTGTGGACCCAGCAAAAAAAAAAAAAAAGAGAGGCAAGAGGGGGAGGGGGGCAGAGGGGGAGAGAAAGCTGCAAGAGCAATCAGACCTTAGAGAAAGAGAATATTGTGCATCGATAACTCAGGTTTGGCTAAGCCTTAATCTCGGCTCTGTCTCTTCCGGACTCTTAGAATGCCCTGACCCATCCTTACTCACTGTCCAGAAGCGCGAATGCTTTTAAGAAATCTCTGAACTCCCGGGTATGGTGGCCATGCTTGTAATTCAGCACTTGGGAGGCTGAGGCAGGAGGATCGAGAGTTCGAGGTCAGCCTGGGAGTTTCAGGCCAGCCTGGACTATATAGTTAAGATCCAGGTTTGTTTGTTTTGGTTTGTGTTTTTGTTTTGGCGGTATTGAGGTTTGAATTCAAGGCTTCACACTTACTAGGCATGCCCTCTACCACTTGAGTCACTCCACCAGCCGTTTTTTGTGTTGGGTATTTTTGAGATAGGGCCTCACAAACTATTTGCCTAGGGCTGGCTTCAATCCGCAATTAGATCTCTGCCTCCTGCGTAGCTAGGATTACAACCATGAGCCACAGGCACCTTGCAAGACTCTGTTTTTTGTTTGTTTTTGTTTTTTTTAAACAGAAACCTTCCCTGGCTCTCTGCTCTGATCCCACTTGAGGATCCGATATGAGGTCTGCCTCTCCCCTCCTATACAGCTGTCAGGGATCCTCAAATTCACCTGACCAAGTGCTCCCCTCTTTGTCTACCCTTAGCTCATACAAAGCCTGCACAGTGTGGGATCTGGCAGTATAGTCATTTTCCTCTGGTTTATAAGCCAGACCCTCTTCTCTTGTCGCCAGACCATCTTCTCTTGTCCCCAGCCCTTCCTGGACCGTTAAAGTACTCAGAGTCAGGTTCCCTGCCCTGCAGAAGAGCAAAAGCCAACCTATGCCAAGTGGGCCCAAAGGAACAACTCCCTCCTCCCAGTTTAGGAAGAGTTGGTTTGTGTATTTTGTTCTTGTTTGGTTTGGCGATACTGGCATTTGAACTCAGGGCCTTGCACTTACCAGGCAGGTAATTTATCACTTGAGCCATGCCTCCAGCCCAGGAAGAGTTGGTTTGGCCTGCACTGCTGCAGGTGGTCACAGTGTATGCCTCTTCCCACACCCCAAAAAGTCAAGGTCTTGTTTCCTGCATTAAATCAGCACGTCTTGATAAACAAAACACCTGGGCTGAAGTCATGTTCTTCTATCAGTGTGTGGAGGTCCCCAAAGCCATGCCCACGCCAGAAATTAGGCCAGGCCTCCCTTTCCTCCTCCCCCCACTCCCCTTTCCAAAGGATGACTAGCCTCTTTGCAAGAATGTTCTCTGCCTGGGCCTCCCTTATCAGACTGGCTGCAAATGGGCAAGTGGATGCCCACTCCTCCTCTTCCCAAATCCCTTCAGAGAAGTCCAAATGCCACATACCCCTGACCACTCTCTTGACCCCACTCACCCGCTTCTGTCTAGGCCCTCTCCATCAGTGGGTAGGGTGCCCTGCCAGGGCCTGACATGCAGGTTTTAGATGTTGAGGAAATTTCAGCTCAGAACTAGGATGGATGGAGAGGAGAAAAAGCATGACTGAAAGGGCCACCCAAACCATGAGGACAAAACAGGTCAGGGATAGGAACAGGTCTTTCTTCTCTTGGCCACCCAAAGTCTAGGGGACTCTAGACTGGTCAGTTCCTAGGGGAAAATGGCACCTCTCTTGGCCTGGCAAACTCCCCCCTCCAAAGGGCCTGATCCCGGCCTAACACCAGGGGGCCCCTCACTTCACAAGCAGACTGGGCACAGGGAAGGGGACCCAGGGTGATGGTGACAATGGCCCAACAGAGACTCAGTCAAGTCTTGGTTCCTGTCCCTACAGCTCTTATGGTCCTCATTTGGCCCGTCTGGGCTTCAGTTTCTCCACCTGGAAAATGCCATGAGGCATCCAGCTCATGAGGTTAAAGAATCAAAGATGGATCCTCCCACAAAGCGCTTAGAAGAGCAGCTGGCACGTGGTTAGCACTGCAGGTGGTCATCAGGGTGGTGGTTATTACATCTCAAGGACCCTGACCATTTCCACGCGGCCTGCAGCCCCTTCCCAGAATGGCAGTAATTTCAGGCCAGGAGTGTTGTGCACCCAGATCCAGACCAAGA